GTGGTAGTGGTAGTGGTAGTAGTGGTAGTGGTGATAATTACCTCTCTGTCAATAGTTTTCTTTACTGTTGCATTTCCAGTAGCGCTGTTAATGTTGAACCATTCACTTGCTTTAGACTCAAGACTGTACGTAACAACATGTCCTGGAGTTGCATCAGTTGCTACGAACTTGTAGTAAAATGTACCTGAGGGAAAAAGATACCCCAAATATAGAATGAATCTAGATAGATTAATTTTTAAAAAGATTTCGTTTTCCTTTGGTCTCTTGCTACTATCTAATATGGAGGCCATGTTGCATACGCCTTCCGAAGGATCCTCCTAACGAGAATTAAACTACTGAAACTTATGTTGTGCAACATAAAGTACAGTTATGAGGAGTTAATTATTTTATAAACCTGTTTCGTTAAACCACTTTTACCAAGTTTTACACTCGGCCGTGTGAACGGGGCATTTGTTTGAACATCAGATCAGCAAATTCATTGTTTGAACGTAATGTCAACGCCAGCATGTTGCTGGTTTTAATCATTTCCAAGGGAGTGAAATAACAAAAGAGACGGCAGCCATGTTGGATGACATAACACAAGAATTCATTGACAATTATGTTGATAACTTAAACCAAGATGGCTGCTTTGAAGTCATGTGCAAACGAAGAATTATTGGTAGTTAACAAACTATTTTTTATTGGCTTTCTTTCTCAATAACACCAACGTTTAGTATACCGCCTTGTTTTTTCTTTTTCCTTTTTTTCCCTCTCTCTCTCTCTTTAGGAAAAGAATTACAAATCATCAGCTTGGCATTATTTTATTCTAGAAAGGAATTTTAATGGAGGTCTGGTAACACTCTGCTGGTGCACAGCATTGTGGGACTGAATGGATGACCGAATTAACAGGTCACGTGACCTTACCTCCCTCAAAACAAGGAGTTGTGTCAAAGTGAAGACCAGAACCTTATGCACAATATTTTAAGTCTTTACCTGGTGGTAATCCTTCTGTTATTACAGAAGGAGTAGAGTCTTGAAATACTGGTTTGACAGCTGAAGGACAGAAAAAAACAGTTAACAGTCAGTAAAAACACGTTATAGCTATTAACATTTAAATTTTTAACTAAAATCATGGAACTATTTTTACCAAAAAAAAACAACGAAATCCTATGCATTTCATGCGATTATAGCCACCTCCTTTCGGCTAAATATAATGATGTTCGGGAGCAGTATTCCCGTGAAAAACTTTGTAAGAAAGTATAGAAATTTGCACAAATTATGAAGTTGAGTAGACCTCAGTAGATAGACCATAGACCTAAAAAAACTTTGCACTAATTTGTACAATTTTGTTAGTTAACTTTGTCATTACGGATAAATGGTATGCATTCTAGTGTTTGCTTTAAGAGGAAATTGTTTTCAATAATGAGCAATAATGGCAAAAAGCGCCAAACACTAGACTTTCGTGTGAGTTTTGATCCCAGTTTTCGTTTTGGGTTAACACTCAAAGCCTTTTTTAAACAGTTAGAAACTGATGTACTAT